GGACTGTGATGAATAAGGTTGAATTTAGAAATTACAAATGAATAATCTGTATTCTGTTAATGTGATCTCCAGGTTCGAGAACTAGAGAACGAATTGGATAATGAACAGAAGCGTGAAGTTGAGGCAGTTAAAGGTGTCCGCAAATACGAGAGGAGAGTGAAGGAGCTAACTTACCAGGTAAAGTAGTCTTCTTGTGTATTAATCTTAAATATTAAAAAGGCACTGGTCAAAAATAAAATATATTCAAGTGTAGATTTAATATATTACTAAAAGCAAATAAAATTACTTAAAAAAAATAATGCCATAATCTCCAGTAGACTCTGCAAAAAATCTTATCTCCTCTTTCAGACCGAAGAAGACAGGAAAAATGTCCTGAGATTGCAGGATCTGGTGGAAAAACTGCAGCTGAAAGTAAAGGCCTACAAGATACAGGCTGAAGAATCTGTAAGTACAAACCCAATGAGTTCTTGTTTGTAGCCGTCAAAAGTCCAGTTAGAATACACTGATCCTCATAGGTTTATAAACGTTGCTGTTAGTCATTCCTCATGTATTCTTGTCCATTCTTGTGTGTCAGGAGCAGGCCCGGACTGGCCATCGGGCATACCGGGCAAATGCCCGGTGGGCCGCGATGGCCATGGGGCCAGGCCGGCAGGGGAGATCACAGAATCTCCCCGGCCGGCCCCTGCAGGGCCAGCGCTACCCGAGCGCCGGCCCTGCTGTGTGCCTCCATGGGCCGGTGGGGAGATCAAAGATCTCCCTCACCGGCCCACAGACAGGGAGATGCGGCCGCCGGCTGGGTGAGGGAGGGAGGAAAGAGGACCGGCGGAGCTCTAACAAGCAGCTCCGCCGGTCCTCTCGCGGGATTCTGAGCGTTGCCGCGGCAACGCTCAGATCTCGCGAGAGTGAACTCTAACCTGCAGGTTAGAGTTCACTCTCACCACTGGACCACCAGGGAAGGCAGCATGGCTCCCCACCCCTCCCCAGGCAGAACGGAATCTCCTCCTCCCCCTCCCCCCTCCCAGGATAAAGGTAAGAAGGGAGGGGGGGGGGGAATATAATTTTTTTTTATTAGTAAAAAATATATATTTAAATAAAAAATACATTCACTCACACACACAGCCTCCAGACACAGCACCCCCCAGACACACAGCACCCCCCAGACACACACAGCACCCCCAGACACAGCACCCCTCAGACACACACAGCACCCCCAGACACAGCACCCCCCAGACACACACAGCACCCCCAGAAACAGCCCCCAGACACACACAGCACCCCAAGGCCACACACGTGCACCCCAGACACACACTGCACTCCAGACACAGCCCCCAGACACACACACAGCACCCCCAGACACAGCACCCCCAGACACACACAAGCCCCCAGACACACTGCCCCCCAGACTGCAGCACCCCCAGACACAGCCCCCAGACACACACTGCACCCAGACACGCACTGCCCCAGACACAGCCCCCAGACACACACAGCACCCCCAGACACAGCACCCCAGACACACACAGCGCCCCCAGACACACAGCACCCCAGACACACACAGCACCCAGACACACACTGCACCCAGACACACACACAGTACCCCCAGACACACAGAGCACCCCCAGACACACAGAGCACCCCTAGACACACAGCACCCAGACTCACACAGCACCCCAGACACACACTGCACCCAGACACACACTGCACCCAGACACACACACAGCACCCCCAGGCACACAGAGCACCCCCAGACTCACACAGCACCCCAGACTCACACAGCACCCCAGACACATACAGCACCCCAGACACACACAGCACCCCAGACACACACAGCACCCCAGACACACACACAGAACCCCCCAGACACACACAGCACCCCCAGACACAGCCCCCAGACACCGCACCACCCAGACACACACTGCACCCAGACACACACTGCACCCCCAGACACACACAGCACACAGAATGTGACAGCAGATAAAAACACCCTCACACACAGCACCCCTCTTACATACACACACTGCGCCCTTCACACATACAATAAGTCCAAATATATATAAATATATACATACACACACACACACACACACACACTACAGCACCCCTCACACTGCACCACTACACACATTACGCTCCAGATACACACTAGATCCCTTACCCTATATGCACTCTTAATCCTCTACACACACACACACACACACACACAAACTGGGTCATTTGCACAGTAGATCTCCTACACACACACACTACATTCCTTGTCAGCAAACACATACAACATTCTCTAAACACACTCTCTCTGCAATCCCTACACACACTACGTCACCTATACACACACACTTCAGCCTGTATGCACACACTCGCTGCATCCCCTATAAAACTATGCCCCCTATACACACACTCTCTACAGCCCCTAGCCACACATATTACACCACAAACACAAATTATATTGACCTATTTATACAATACCACACCACACTCTACACACACGCAATCCCACAAGCAGGCTCCAAACATATGCACCATGCACTTTCCTGGCCCTTTTGTCCTCTGGTATCCCACTTGTGGAGACACCAGAGACAATTTAAAAGCAAACACAGCGCAAGCATGTTATTAAATTTGCTTGCGCTGCGCAGAACAAATTCGGGGCCTTTTTCTAATGCCAGAGCTCTTCAGCAGGGCTCTGGGCATTGAACCAACATGCTCACTTTGAGAGGGGGCGTGCTTGTCATTAGTGATGACAAAACACACACTCTCTGGCCCCGCCCCCTTCTTAGGGGGCCGCTCTGATTGAAAAATGCCCGGGCCTAATTTTTTTCCCAGTCCGGCCCTGGTCAGGAGGAGCAGACCAACGCTCATTTGAGTCGGTTCAGAAAGGTCCAACATGAGCTGGAGGAAGCCGAGGAGAGAGCCGACATTGCCGAATCTCAAGTGAACAAACTCAGAGCTAAAAGCCGTGACGTCAGCACCAAGGTAAGACATTATTGCAGGTCCTCACTTTATAACGTTCCTTCCTATCATTACATTCTTCATGGAATGCAAGCTTATCTTCCACATCTGTATCCATTTATTGACATTTGTTGTTAAGTTGATTATTGTAACACAATGGACTAGTCATGTAGTGCTATACTATAATTTGGGTCATTTTATTGTTGTGATGTAATGGAGAAGTTGCTGCTTACATTTGTTCAGTGCAATAGATACTCACTAATATATTTATTGTGTGTTTTGCAGAAAGAGAGTGAAGAATGAAAAACCATGAATGAAGGAAGAGGGGAAAATTGCAAAATATAAAATCTTTTTCAAATCAAATTTCATCTTTTGGATCTCATCCCCACACTACCTATAATATATTCCTAAATAAATTAGATATTTGAAGATTGTAAATTTCTGCTTGTTTAGTTGTATTTAATTCTGTCTTTTAGACCGAACACCATACATTTACAATTCAGACAACACAGACCAGTGGCAGCTCTAGACTTTGCAAAGCCTTAGGCGAAACTCAAACATGAGGTCCCCACTAACACAATTAGTCAAAAAATTGAAGATAATGCTAGCTTTAGTGTACTAATAATCTTAATTTTAATAAGGACATTAGGTGAGTATTTTGCATAAACCAATCACAAAACAGTAGGAGGTATAGTATTCCCAATGAACAGGCTCCTCCTCCTCTTTCAACTAGAGACATTGCAGACGGACAAAGTTTAAACAATTCTGAATTAAAGCCAGTCTTGGGTCTGTAACAGGAGAATCAATCCAAACGAATTAGGATAATCCATGGGGAGCGTAGGATAAACTTGGGATAATCTACATAGAGGTAATCGTAGGTCCAAGTGAAATTACGCTGAAACGAGAACGTGGAATAGGTTAGGTACTAGTCGTAAGACCATGAAAAACATGGAAGGCATCTGGCTAGACTATTTTAGTCAGACTATAATGACAGTATACTATTAATCGATACTTCTCTCCCTACGGTACAACAAGGTATAAGTATCATGACCTACGAGAGATACACAATATACGTTGGATATTCGGAATGATGAAGAGAGAGATAGAAAAGCTAGCTTCATAAAGGAGGATAGGGGAATCTGAAGAAGGAGCAGCATAGATATACTTGAAGACTGAAAGGGGTGGGTATGGGTGGGAAAATACTCGCCTCTTGTCCTTATTAAAATTAAGATTATTAGTACACTAAAGCTAGCATAATCTTCAATTTTGTTACATGACAGGAGGCTTCGTATTTTGCATTTTTCACGCTGATGTAACAAGGAAAACGCAGCGCAGGAGTTCGGTCTAAAGTAGAAGGTCCAAAAAGTGGATTCGTGGGACCAGTCAGCCGTGCGAAGGACGTCTGATAGTGATGCTCCAGCTGCGTAGGCCGAAGAAGCAGCCGCGCCTCTCACCGAATGAGCCCCGAAAGTGGCATCCACGCCTGCCAGTGACAAAATCCAACGTACCCGTCTAGCGAGGGTAGTAGAGGAAACTGGATTGTGTGGCTTGACGTAGGAAATCAGAAGTTGGCCGGAGGAAGTCGGGTGGAGAGAGGTGGTAGTTTGAGGTTCTGTGACGAAAAAAGGGGTAAAAAATGGTGGTGGAGTTCGATTTGGTGTGTCAGGAGATATGGAAGGTGACTCGAAAAGGCATCGACTTCAAAGGCCCTAACGTCGGATACCCGGCGAAATGAGACTAGGCAGAGTAAAATCGTCATCTTGGCCGAAAGTTGGCGGAGCGAAAGTCTGTCATTAGTAGCATAATCTCGTACCCGGAGCCCATGAATCCCATAAGAGGTCTCTAGCAGTCTGCGATAGTTCGCTGACTTGCCAGGTGCCCCAGAAAGAGCCCAAGCCACCAGGGAGAATCTCTCTTCCAGCATTAGCGGGTGAGGGTTCCCTTTCATGTCCGTGAGGAGAGTCGGTTGGGATGGCAGCAAGAGCGGGTCTGCGTAAGATAGTGCTAGAAGATCCGGGAACCATGGTTGACTCTGCCATAGGGGGGTAATTAGGAGCAGAGAAATCTGGTGTACCTTCAGATAATGGAGAGTCCTCGCTATCATAGCGAATGGGGGAAATGCGTAGGTGCCGAAGGGCGGCCAGGTCTGTAGGAAAGCATCCACTGCTTTGCATTCCGGGTCCGGGAGCCAGCTGAAGAAGTATGGGGTTTGTCTGTTGTTGCGGGACGTGAAGAGATCCAGATGGAAGGGTCCTCTCATTTGCGAGAGGACAGTGAATATCTCTGGGTCCAGCATCCAATCGCTGCCATCTCTCCAATGGTGAGAGAACCAGTCGGCTGTGAGATTCATCTCCCTGGTAGGTATTCCGCCTTGAGGGAGATGTTGCGTGGAAGGCAGAAGTCGAACACTTCTTTCATGAGTTCGGATAGGAGTCGCGAGCAAGCTCCGCTTAGGCGATTGACATAGCGGACGGCCGAGATGTTGTCCATCCTGAGGAGAATGCAACAATCGTATTTGTCCCTTGCCAGGCTGCATATGGCGAAGGAACCCACCAGGAGTTCGAGACAGTTGATATGCAGGTTGAGTTCCTGTGAGGTCCAGTCTCCTCCCTCGCTCGTGGCTCCCCAGCTCCAAAGGCTTGCGTCCGATTCCAGCATGAAATCTGGGGTTTTGCCGAATTTAGCACGTTTGTTCCAGGCCTGCATGCTGTCCAGCCACCATTGAAGTTCCTCCCTGACCTCTGCCATAATCGGTACTGGTTGGTCGTAGGTGGGATTTCGGCGGAGGAAGGATGCCTTGAGGCGTTGCATCGCCCTGTAGTGGAGTGGTTCAATTCCTTTAGGAATGAGTTTCCAAATAATTTTCCCTGTGCCAGAGGTCCGAGTTCTTTGGTGCCCAATTCCACCAACTTCCCATCTATGCGGAGAAGTGCTGCCTTACGCCTCTCAGGTGAGAGGGCCACATTTGCATTTCCAAGGAAACAGAAACCGCGTTGAGCCCATTCGTGTATATCGTGTGCCCATTCCCTGACCATGTCGGCATCGAACTGGTCTGCTCGTTGGAAGGCATCGTCTGCCAGGTGATGCGGGAGAGGGGTCCGGAGGTATCTAGTAGCTTGTCTTGGACTCCTTTGAATCCCCTATCCACCCTGCGGTGGGGGTTGTGACCACCACTACTCATGAAGGTAGTGATTACCTGGTCAAATTTAGGTGTCAGGGCTACTTGATCTGGTAGGGAAGGGCGGGGGCATTCCGACTTCAGTCGGTTGCTGACTACCTTGTCCATAGGTTTACGCAGCCATAGGTGCATAAACATAGCGAGGTGTTCCGGAGGTGTCCAGTCTGTCGAGCGAGGGTGTCTGATGTTACGTGGGTCAAAGAGTGTCTGGCCCACAGGGTCCAGAATAGCCTCGTCCTGTATCAGGGAGGCGTCCCCCGTCCCTTGCCATTCAGCAGCGAATGAATCTGAATCCCCTGTATGAAAGGGTTTAGATTCTGAGCCTCAGGCGTCATCATCGGATTGAGATGCGTTAGCTTGCCATTCATCCAGTATGGCCATAGTGTCATCAATATCTTCCTCTTTCTCTGAGGAGAACACTTGGAGAGGGGCAGGGGTAACGGCGGCCGCCGTTTTGCTTTTCTTAGCAGGGTGTTTGCCCTTGCTTGGTTTGGGGTCCTTCTCCCTTTTCCAGTGGCGTTTGGTAGCCTGGGTGTCGTCCTTGGTCTGGGTTTCAGAGTCCTCAGACTCAGTATCGTGGCGTGTGCAGCGTGGATTGCATGGCCTTCTCCATAGAAGCGGCCACAGCTGCATTTACCATGGACTGAAAGTCCACTGGAGTAGGTTGAGATTCTTCCATGATGTAGGCAAGGACTTGGCCCCTTATAAGAGGGCAGTTGAGGCAGGGGTCAATAGTAGGAGAGGATCCTACAGTAGTTATGGTACCAGCAGTACCAGATATAACCCCAGCAGGGTAATGTTCCGAGAATAGGACCAGCAGTACTAATGACCCTAGCAGGGTAGAATAGCTCAGGAACAATAAGTACCAGCCGTACTGTATATATATATATATATATATTTATATATATATATATATATATATATATACAGTTGCAAGAAAAAGTATGTGAACCCTTTGGAATGATATGGATTTCTGCACAAACTGGTCATAAAATGTGACCTGATCATCATCTAAGTAACAACAATAGACAATCACAGTCTGCTTAAACTAATAACACACAAAGAATGAAATATTGCCATGTTTTTATTGAACACACCATGTAAACATTCACAGTGCAGGTGGAAAAAGTATGTGAACCCTTGGATTTAATAACTGGTTGAACCTCCTTTGGCAGCAATAACTTCAACCAAACGTTTCCTGTAGTTGCAGATCAGGCGTGCACAACGGTCAGGAGTAATTCTTGACCATTCCTCTTTACAGAACTGTTTCAGTTCAGCAATATTCTTGGGATGTCTGGTGTGAATGGCTTTCTTGAGGTCATGCCACAGCATCTCAATCGGGTTGAGGTCAGGACTCTGACTGGGCCACTTCAGAAGGCGTATTTTCTTCTGTTTAAGCCATTCTGTTGTTGATTTACTTCTATGCTTTTGGTCATTGTCCTGTTGCAACACCCATCTTCTGTTGAGCTTCAGCTGGTAGACAGATGGCCTTAAATTCTCCTGCAAAATGTCTTGATAAACTTGGGAATTCATTTTTCCTTCGATGATAGCAATCCGTCCAGGCCCTGACGCAGCAAAGCAGCCCAAACCATGATGCCCCCACCACCATACTTCACAGTTGGGATGAGGTTTTGATGTTGGTGTGCTGTGCCTTTTTTTTTGCCACACATAGTGTTGTGTGTTTCTTCCAAACAACTCAACTTTGGTTTCATCCGTCCACAGAATATTTTGCCAGTACTGCTGTGGAACATCCAGGTGCTCTTGTGCAAACTGTAAACGTGCAGCAATGTTTTGTTTGGACAGCAGTGGCTTCCTGTGTGGTATCCTCCCATGAAATCCATTCTTG